AGACAGCTGTCAGTTTTTCCCTGTAGTGAGCTTGTGGGTAGGTGCAGTGTGATGTGGAAAGTAATAACACAGAGTCAAGGATTCGTATTGACGGAAAGGCTCAACTGAACAGACAACCCAGTGGGAAGTCACCACACCAGGGAAACACACAGTTCTGCGTAACTCGAGGGCACAGTGGATTCCTCGTCAGTCTCAGAGGGGAGAATGCGGCCTGACTGGTCCAGACTCAATGGAGAGGCTTCCACAGAAGAATGGCTTGTCCCTAACCTGCCCCTCCTCACCAGGAACCTCTCCCTACTGCTAGTCACTTTCCTGACAGACGTATACTCTTCCCCTCATCACGCAGAGTGCGTGCCAAAACCTGAGAGCAGGGTCCTCAAAAGACTTTGCTGATTCAAGATGGATGTAGCATAGCCAATCAGTACGCTGCCTCCGGGGACCAGGAAATCATGGACAAACCAGGCTTCACCTGACTTCCTCTCCAACTGCAGTACTACTCGGATCGAGTGCCACCTACAGTGTAGGAAGCGGACTATATCTGCCTACAAGCTGTAGTGATGGGGCAGTGTGATGCACATTTCAGCATATCACACTATTTACTTTTTTTTTTTTTTTTATTTGAAGTGCACAAAGGGACTCTTCATTCATGTGTCCATACAGGAGGACATGTGTTGACATGCGGTGCCCTCCAAAGCATGTCTACATTTTTCCACGTTGCATTGTACTTCAAATCACACCAGGATTGTGGTGCAATAACCATTAATTTCTATGTGCCCTTGCAGTGACTGGTGATTGTTCAGTGTGAAAAAAAGCCAGTCGCAGCACAAGTGTGAATGAGCCCTCATATGAGCAGTTGGTGTGCTCCAGCAATAATGTGTTTATCATGTGTTTCAGGGTCCGAAAATGTTGTACACCACGGTTCTAAAAGACTATTAGTACCGCACTGACTATCAAAATAGTTTTTATGAAGGGAAAGTTGATTTTCTGACCATAAACTTTATCCACAGCCTTGTATAAGGACAGTACTCTCCCCCTATAAGAGAAGGTGCCTACTCTAGAATGGCAGGATCACCAGGCATTTGAACAAAAACTTCAGATTTAAACATTTAAAATAGCTTCTGAAATTACTTTAACAAGGTTTTTTATGAGATTGAATTTGCATTTACTAACCTACACCACCTTCCAGCAGAATGTGGCTGTCCCCAACATTCTCACAATGCAAAAAAAAAAAAAAGTGTATGTAAGACATATTTATTACATGAAATGCTCACAAACTGAGGTAACATTAACAGAAGCAACTCGTTATAAATGTCCCCAAATGATGCTTTGAGAAGCATTGTAATTCAATAGTAAATCTTCAGTAAGCAAGCACCGCAAACCACTATTGTTTGTTAGGGAGCTGTGAAAGGTGTGTACAACTGCAGGTAAATAGCACAGTGGCTTAGTGGATGGCACTTCTGCTTTGGAACGCTAGGGCCATTGGTTCAAATCTCAACCAAATATGTATATAGGTAGCGCCAAAGAGGCACTAACCTATAGAAAGCAGCCTCACAAGGAAACCAACTGCAGCACATTGTGCGGCTGCTTTCTATGGGTTAGTGCCTCTTTGGCGTACCTATATAAAATTTTGGTTGGTACTGTGCATAGCCTTATGGAACCCCACCCCATTTGGTGAGTCGTTTTTTGTGAAGCTTTTTCTAAAAAGGGCCACCTTATTATTGATCACATAATCACTGTATGGGTTCAAATTAGATTTAGAACCCAAGACACACTAAAGTTTTTTATTTTTTAGTTGCTTGGTTCAAATCTCAGCCATAACACTATCTGTATGTTGTTTGCATCTTCTCGCTGTGCTTGTGTGGATTTCCTCATATACTTCAAAGACATGCTGGTAGGTTAATTGGACCTAGAATATATGCATGTGAGATGGGGACTGTGTAAGTTCCTTGAGGGTAGGGACTGATGTTATGGTAAATTGTTGGTGGAGAGAGAGAGAGCGAGAGAGAGGAGGAGTGTGTGTGTCAAGCAAGGTGGGCAGGGAGGGGGTGATGTGAAATTGCCAGGCAAACAATGTGGCTGGATTAAGGTTAGGAAGATGTAGGAAAGGGGGAGGAGCTGGATGTGGGCGTAGCCTAGCAAGTGGGTTAAAGGGACTTAAGGGTGCATAGTAAAGTAGGGGAGCTGAAGTGATATGCCCTCAGGGGAATGGCTGGAGGTTGGAAGGGTTAAATAGGGGATCCTGTTCAGCAGGAGGAGGAGGGATGGAGAGGAGCTGGATTGAAGGAACTGGACCTCAAGGGAATGAGGTAAAGAGTTAAATAGGGGAACCACTTCAGTGGGGGTGGGGCTTGGCAGGGCAGGCAAGGGTGCAGGGGAAATGGAGGTGCAGTGAAAGTTGGGGGGATGGGGGGAAAGCATGTGTGAGGTGCCCACAGAGGGGGGAGATAGATGAGACTGAATTAGCAGTGAAGGGGGGGTGGGGGAATGAAGGCATCCCAACAAGTGGGAAGGTAGAGGTAGCAGGAAGGGTGAGAGTTGGGTGAAGTAGAAAAGGGGGGGCAGAAAGTCAGGGTCAGTAAATTGAGGTTAACTACCATTGCCTACATCAGCATGCTGCTTCCCCACCCCCACTGATCACCCCCCTTTCCCCACAACTGTCAGGGTCCCAGCTTACCCCTCCTATTTCCCAATCACCCCTCCAGTCCTGCCTCAGCTTGCACCCCCCCCCCCCCCCAAACTTCTCCTCATCTCCCCTCCAGTGTTCCCATTCATTGCATTGTTCCCCGTCCTCTGCCCAGCCCCTTCCAGAGTCCCCACCCTGTTTACCAATCACCCCCCCCACTGGTCTTAACTCAGCCTCCATCCCACCACTGTGCCCTCCCCCTTCCCAAAAGTTACCTTACTGGTCCTGGGCTCAACTTTCATCCCACCAGTCCCTCCTCTGCCCAGACCCTGCCAGTGCTGGAACCCGGTTTACTACTCACCCCCCTGGTCCTGGACTCACCATTGTGTCCCCCCCCCTCAATAACCCCCCTGGTCCTGACTTGGCTTCCATTCATGCCACTACTGTGTCCTCCCCTTTCCCATCGGTCCTCCTCCTCTGCCAAGACCCTGCCACCAGTGTTGGCACCCTGTTTACCAATCACCCCCCTAGTCCTGGACTCACCACTGTGTCCTCCCCCAATCACCCCCTCTGGTCCTGACTCAGCTTCCCACCTGTCCCGATCCTCCTGTTTACCCAACTGGTCCTGGCTGAGGTTCCATCCCACCAGTCCTCCCCCCCCCCCCCCCCTTGCCATGCACCCTTCTTCCACTTGAAGAAAGGCCTCTAATTACACAAAATATGATGTTTGGGGGGCTCTTCTGCGAAATTGGCCCCAAAAAATGCGGATTCGGACATGGCCAAGGAGGCAGGTGGCTAAGGTTAGACAGGCTGCCTCCAAAGTACATGCTAAGGCACCTGTATTTTTCACTTCATTGTGAGCAGCTCTGACGCTGGCTCAGGTGCTAAATTAAAAGGCTCTCAAGCATAAGATCATGAGTAAAGAGGACCTGTCGTGTTGCTCTTGTGATAGCAAAAAAAAAAACTGTTTTTTTTAAAAATGCTAATGCATACGTGCGTTCCACATGCATGTGTACATGGCGATCACACCACACTTGTGAGGTATCGTCGCAAACGTCAGAGTGAATGCAATAATTCAAGCACCACACCTCTTATGTAGCTTTCAAATGGTAGCCTGTAAAGTGTCACCTTTGAATGACTGAAGACCCCTGCATTAAAGTGTATTTTTGCCTAAACTTTGGCATTTTGAAACTGGTTGTGCAAATATCTTGTGATGCAAACAACTGCAAAAAAAACCCTCTCGTTTTAAACAAGTAGGATGTTTGGGGACACTTAGTAATTTTGAGACCAAACAAATGGTGATTTTGACAGGTATGTAAGAAATGTCAGAATTGGCCTAAAAAAATACAAGATAAGGCCCCGGTAGATTACACCCCACAGCAAGCAGTTAGAACGGTGGCTCAGGGAATAAAGCACTGGGTTTGAAAGCATGAGATGCTTAGTTTGAATCCCCAGCAAGTTGGTTGGTACATCGTAGGAATTTATTGGCTTTCTGTTGTGCAGAGTGTCCGGCGATGGACATTTGCATTTTAAATCAGCTGTGCAAATATCATGTGCTGCACCTCTGACGGTGGCTCAGATGGACAACACAAATAGAAGCAGATTGATTCTATGCAGAGCTGCAACAGATTTTGCATTCTCCAGTTTTACTAAATCAACCCCAATGTCTCCTAGATCCTCCAGAACCAGGGCCATGTAGTTAAGCGGAACATAATGCACAGGGCCCGATTATCTGATACTGTTATACACTAAAGAATGGTGAAACAGTGGGTGAGGTCAGGCAGTTATAATAGAAGCAACTGTCAGACTTGATGTTACAAAGTGAAATCAGGATGAAAGTATACACCTTTCATGACTACTTCTGCATGGTTATAATTTAAGGCTGAATTTTCAGATTTTTACATAAGGCCAACTGTGACAGGCTCTCTATAAAAAGGGTTTCTGGGTGGCATAACCCTTAAAGAAGTATAGTCAAAGCTATAAATCTTCTATGGATCACATGAGCGCAGTTTGTTCTGCATTTCTGTGACCCGTTTTTAGCCGATAGCGGGCTAAAGCCCATAGTTGGCTTGGTTGTTGTCACAGAGCTGGTCCAAGCTCTGAAAAGATCCCAACCATATGTTTGGGATCCACCCGGATGCCTGGATTAGCAGCTGGCTCAGCCTCTCAGTGATCCACCAACAGCCTGTGTCAGCTGCTCCCACCCCCTCCACAGCCAAGCACTCTCTTACAGTAAATGTATGATCGGCTGCCTTTTAGCATCCAATTTTAAATAATGGCATTGATCCAAGTCCAATAATGTTCAAATCCTTATTTAAGGAAAGTCTTCAGCTCAAGGAGGAAAAGTCCATAAATGGCTCCTAACACAACACGATGCCTATTCATCAGACTCATCCTCTTCAGAATCTTCAGCACTAATCTCCTTATCTTCCACTTTTTGAGGATCCTTCTGTGTTCCTAAATTAAAATTCACATAACATATTTCAGATTCAGGGGTCAAAGGAAGTAAAAGCAATTCATTTTCATTATTAAGATTTTAATACAAAAAACAAAAATGCAGTTTACCATGATAAATACATAAATGTGCCTACTTCTCACCACCTCCATCTTGTCATCTTCAGGTTTATATTGTAAGGCAAGGGTAAAGGACAAAAAACATTTTTACCCACCAAAAAGATCACAACAGTACACATGTGAGTATTGGATAGTACTGAAATTGTACTTCCAGGTACCGGAAATGTGTCTATGTATTATGCTTGACTGTTCAATTACCTCAACATGGACAATAGACATGCAAAGGTGTATTCTACAGATTATTATTATACAGGATCTACATAGCGCTAACAGTTTGCGCAGCACTTTACAAAATGAAGGTAAACTTTACAGTTACAATACAATTTGGTACAAGAGGAAACAGAGGGCCCTGCTCGTTAGCGCTTACAATCTAGATCATGTTCATGTCCACACCTATCAATATAAAATATTCAATAGCCAAAGCTAATGGCCACTATTCAGTGCTCCTACTCCTTGACCTCTCTGCGGCCTTCAACACAGTCGACCACCCCCTCCTCCTCAAAAAACTACACTCCCTCGGCCTCAGAGATTCTTCTCTCTCCTGGCTCTCATCCTACCTGTCACAACGCTCCTTCAGCGTTACCTATAATGCTACCACCTCCCCCTCACTCCCACTCTCTGTTGGGGTCCCTCAAGGCTCTGTCCTCGGGCCCCTTCTCTTCTCCATCTATACCTCCTCCCTTGGCCAACTCATACACTCTCACGGCTTCAACTACGACCTCTATGCCGACGACACACAAATCTATCTCTCAACCCCCCACCTCACCCCCTTGGTCTCAGCCCGAATCACACACCTACTGAGCGACATATCAGACTGGATGTCGCTCCACTTCCTTAAATTGAACCTCTCCAAAACTGAGTTTCTTGTCTTCTTCCCAGCCCGGACACCACCCCCCATTGATTTCTCCGTCACATCCAACAACACTACCATCAAACCCGCCCTGCAGGCCAGAGTACTTGGTGTCATTCTGGACTCCAACCTATCCTTTCAACCCCAAGTCCAATCTTTAACAAACTCGTGCAGACTCCACCTCCACAACATCGCCAAAATACGTACGTTCCTAACCCCAGAAACCACTAAACAGCTCATCCACTCCCTCATCATGTCACGACTCGATTACTGCAACTCCCTCCTCACTGGCCTGCCTCGCCGCTGGCTATCCCCGCTTCAGTCGATCCTGAATACGGCTGCCAGACTCATTCACCTTTCCAACCGCTCTGTCTCCGCCACCCCCCTCTGCCAATCCCTCCACTGGCTTCCGATTGCGCAACGGATCAAATTCAAAATCCTAGCGCTGACGTACAAAGCTGTCCACCATACTGCCCCGAACTACATCACTGACCTAATATCCAAATACCGCCCAGCACGCACACTCCGCTCCTCACAAGACCTCCTCTCTAGTTCCCTGGTCTCCTCCTCCCATGCCCGCCTCCAGGACTTCTCCAGGGTGTCACCCATCCTCTGGAACTCCCTGCCCCAACCCATCCTTTAGGCGTACCCTGAAAACCCATCTCTTCAGGGAAGCCTAACCCCACCCCCTGCTAACTTGCCGACCTCCTCCACTCTTCCTACCACTCCATCCCCCACAGCTATCTCCTCCTGTGCCACCAGCCCCTCCCTCCTAGATTGTAAGCTCGAAAGAGCAGGGCCCTCGATCCCCTCATGTTTTGCATTGTATTGGTATTGTTCTGTCACATGTTCTGTCCCCCTTTGTAATGTACAGCGCTGAGCGAACTATTGGCGCTTTATAAATACTGTATAATAATAATAATAGAGAGATTTACATACCTTTCATTATAATGGTTCAATAATTTGTTTGTTGTGATTGTTGTTTCAATTACATACATGGAAATGAAAACAGATTTGGATATTTTTGATTGCAGAAAAATGATCTGGAAGGTTGGAAATTTTTGTATTTATTTGTGCTTGCAGAATGTGTGGTAGAATGATAACAGAATATTTTTTTCCAATTTCATCCTGTTATCAGGAAGCCAGTAAAAAGGTGGGATGACCATCTAACAGGAAATTAATGTAATTTGGGCACATTTCTGCAGAAGCTGTGAAAACAACTGGTCCCTTAGTTATCTTGCAGTATCAAAGGGATGCTAAAGGCCTACCATGATAATGTGTGGGATCTCGTGGTGTGTTCAGGAAAAAAGGCAGGAGCACAATGTATGGGCATTAAAGCACTGTATGGTAAGGGATTCTTTTACAGGGGGGATTTACTAAAAGTGAAGAGTGCAAAATCTGGTGCAGCTCTGCATAGAAACCAGTCAGCTTCCAGTCTAAATGAACAAGCTGAAGTTAGAAGCTGATGGGCTACCATGCACAGCTGCACCAGATTCTGAGTGCTCCAGTTTCAGTAAATCTCCCCCACAGTATCATACCAGTTTGTTGAGGCAATGACTGGCTGTATAGTGTGCTGGAGGCCAAAAAGCCAGGAGAAAGCCGGCATATTTTACATACCTGAATATTAAAGTGTATGTAAACATAACAATTACCTTCTCTTATTTGTGTTCTTTTTGTCTGTTAAATAAATCAATGAAAGTGAATGCCTGTTCGTCATGTGCAAAAAGAAATGCCTGTTGATTCTGCCAAAATCCAGCGAGCTGACAATTTCCTCAGCTCTCTGTAGTGCTATCCCAAGCAACGTCGCCCTGTCCAGTTCAACTCTGTGGATTACAGAACGCCCCATCCATATGTTATGGAGGCAAGGGGAGGGGTTCTGTAGTCCCAACACACTTTCTTTTCTAAGGTGACAACATAACTCCTTTATAGATGAAATATAGTGAGGGAGTGATGTCATCATACGACAGAAAGAGAATTACTGGAAGGATTACTAGGTAAAAATAAAGACAACAAGGCCTAAAAGAAACAATTGCAGCCACTACATCTAAGAACTGGTAATATGCAATATATTACTTTTTTGTTTTTGCATTTATTAGCTGGCATATTGTAAATACCTATATTTTGAATAAATCTGCTGGTGGTTATTTTGGTATAGGAGCAGATAATAATCATCATTATTTATAGTAACAGAGTTTTTTCCTCATGCCATCTGCCATTTGAACAGCCAGGATTGCACTGCTCCCTCTAGCTTCATTTAGGTGTAGTAACATTTGAAAGGGTTACTAACACTTTTATTGGTCGTATTTTAACACATTTGTCAGCATTCAGATACATTTTAACTTGGATACTATTACAATGATATTTTTTCACTTATAAAATTTTTTAATATCCTGATATAATTTAACTGGAAGGATTGTATATAATTTGTATGGGGTCTTTTGTGTTTTTAACCCAGATCATTTCAGAATTCTCTTGAGAATGTGTGCTCAGGTTTCCATTTTTTTTGTTTATTAGAGGTTACTATGAGGCTGGTTTCTGTTGATAGGGGGAAATCATGGTTTTAAGGGTATATTGGGAGATGTATTCTAATAGAGGAATGCTTGGTGATACCTTGTACACTAGGTTGTGAGAGAGTCAAACTTTGATATATCTATTGAAAATTAATAACAATAATTATTTGTACATATATACTAAAGGTGGTGCAGATATTCTTTATCAGGATCTCAGTTGGTGTGATTTATCACTTATAGTAAATCATGAATTAAATACTGTATCTATTACACTTAAAAATACAAACCATTCTTTTCTTGCTTTGCTTTCTTAGTCTTTTTCTTCTCTTTAAGTTTTTGTCTGTAAATCACATTAAAGGTCAAGTTATTATATATAGTACCACACATTATGTTATGTTTTTTACATGCAATGAAAAAACTATGCAGAAATAAACATGAACAATATATGATGAATTATTTCCTGCTAATGTAAGTAATATATGCTACTAGGCCAACACAGAAAACCCATTAGCTGTGCGACTTTTGGGCTGTAGAAGTCATAGTAATTGGGTAATTTTTTCAGTGTTCAACCTCATACAAGCAGGATTTGATAAGATACACATGCTTGAACTTAACCTGAATGCTCTTTTTAAGACCAAATATAACATGTCCCTTGCCATGAGATTGGTGAATAACCTTGCAGCAGAATACTAGGAATTCAGAGTTACTAGACAAGTTAACCAATACAGTACATACCAATGCTGCTAAACTTGAACTGGGCATCTACGCTTTAAAAAAACTCTGGTCATAAAACGATTAAAACAGGAAAGACTTTCAAGGGCAAATAAAATAATACAACCTTATCCTATTTTTCCTCCTCTATTACACTCAATAATGGATGCCAAATTTCTACCTTTAAAGTTATTAAAGTGCCCCTGTGGCCAAACTATTAAAATATTTGCCTATTCCTAACAAGCAGTAAAATGGCTTTATAACAAGCCATCTCTGACCTCTCTTGCAGCTTGTACTGTGAAGTAATTAAATCTCAAAGATCACAACAAAGACTCTAAAGACAGATTTTTGGTTTCTAACAGCTAAACACCCACAATGGCTGGCACACTGCTAAGGTTCCGTAGGAATATAAAGTAATAGGAAAAATGCTTATATATTAGTGCCTGCATTGTAAACTTGGAAGAAAAATTTCTCCACAATACCTGAAGCTACAGAGGTGTATAAAGGCTTGTTTTAAAGCACTTTTACTGTTGGTTCATAATCTGTAAATCTTTTAGTTTGCTTAATATGAGCACAAGTTCAATTTGACTAATTTGTTAACAACAGAGGACAACAAATCCAGTTCATATTTTTATCTTTTACACTTTCAAATATAGACTGCAAAAATGACTGAATCTGACTGTTTAAATGTTGTTGCCAGCTTTTTTTCCCCCCCAAAGATGTGCTAAGTTTAAACGTAATACGATACAATTGTCCTTTTGTATACATCAAAGAAATATATCACAGGTACAGTGGTAACAGAACATTCAGTTAAATATATTCACATATAAGAGATGAATGGAGAGAGAACATTATGGTCTCCCAAGAACCACACTGGGGTTTGGTTGTAAGAGGGGAACAGGACCAGAGGCCCCAGATCTTGTTGAAACTTATTACAGAGCTGCTAGCAGTGTAGGAGAATTGGTAAAGAGCGAGAACGAATTGATTAATTTTTTCTACTCAAAAGTTGAAGAAAGAGGTAATTTCCAAATGGTACAGCACCTTTAACCACTTCAATACCGGGCACTTTTACCCCCTTCCTGTCCAGGCCAATTTTCAGGTTTCAGCGCTATCACACTTTGAATGACAATTGCAGTCATACAACACTATACCCAAACTAAAATTTTATCATTTTGTTCACACAGCTAGAGCTTTCTTTCACCACTGGGGTTTTTGTTTTTTGCTAAATTAACAAAAAAAGACAGAAAATTTTGAAAAAAAACCTACGTTTTTCTTTGCTTCTGTTATAAAAGTTTGCAAATAAATAATGTTCTTCATAAATTTAGGCCAAGATGTATTCTGCTACATTTCATTGGTGAAAATAACCCAAATCAGTATTTATTATTTAGTCTGTAGGAAAGTTATAGAGTTCACAAACTATGGGATATATCTGAAAATTGATCAATCCTGAAATACTGACGGCCAATCTAATTTCTTGAGGCCCCAAAATGTCAGAACAGTACAGATATCCCCCAAATTACCCCTTTTTGCAAAGTAGACAGTTTGACATATTTCATAAGAGGCATGGTGAGTTTTTTTGAAGTTGTAATTTTTTTGTCATAATTTTTCGGAAGATGAAGAAATTAAAAAAATGTTTTTCACAATTTTTCTTTTTTTTTTTTTCCTATGCTCATGCTGTCACCAGTGCAGTACAGCATGAGCATATAACTGATGTGGCGGTGATCAGGGACACTGACTAGTGACAGTACGAAAAAAAAAAAAATTTTTTCTTCATTTTTTTTATTACATTTCTCTTTTTTTAAGATTTTATTTTTCATATTGCACATGACCAAAGTAGTATAATGTTACCATAGTAACATTGTACTACTTTAGGGAAGTGATCAGTATTTTTTTTTTTTTTTTACACACACTATTTTGTTTGATTATAGCAAATCATTTCTTTGCTAAAAGCAAGCATTTAGCTGAATGAAATCGATTCATTCAGGCTTTTTTTTTGTTGTGATTAGCTGTGATTGGCCACAGCTAATTTACATGACACAGGTGGTCTGTGATTAGCCCAGCCTGTGCATGTGATTGCTGTGACCATTCACATCTAGACACACTTGTATACAATGGATGGCATGAAAGGAAGCCATCCATTGTATACAACTGTCATGTGACCTGCTGTAATTGGTCACAGCAGGTCACATGGTACTGGCAACGGGGCCGGTACACAGATCTGTCATCGGCCGTGTCCAAGGTACACGACTGGTGACAGATCTCTCCACAGCATGGCCCTGCGGGAACGCGCAAAGCAAGTTCCGGGAAGGACGCCATATGGCATCCTCCCGGAGGGACAAAGTGTTTGCCCGGCCACCATTTGGCCATAAGCCGGGCGGCAACTGGTTAATCATTTCTGGTGTGAGAGCTAATGGGAAGATACTCCACTAACGCCTCGGGGAATCTTAAATTAGGCAGACCTAAGACTGTTCTAATAAGTCCACACACCTTGGTTCCAAAATGTTGGTGTCAGTTTGTATCAGCATGCAAATAAGTCTGTGTACACAAATCCTGATACAAGCAATGCACACAGCCCTCTATTAGATAGGGCTCCATTCACACTAGTGCGATTTCAAATGTGACTTGTGTTGCACAGAATTGCAGGAAAATAAAAGTAAATTTTCAATGGTGCCCGTTGATATCAGTGCAACTGTGCACAACACGATTTTATAAAAGGTTCCTGTACTACTTTGGTGATATTCCAAATTTGATCAAATCAAATTTGGATCATAGCAGTGTAAACCTAGCTTAATGCAGTATGGGATCCTACGCCCAGAGGAATTAGCTTCTCATTAACAATGCAGAGATCAATTACCTTTTTAATCTGCGTTTTGCTGTTCTCTCCTCTGCCTTCATTTGGTTCTCCTTTAGTTTTATTTGAAATTCGTCATCCAGCGTTTGCTGTAATATGGTAATAGTCAGTTATTTATATCTATACAGTATATTATATCATACAGCACATTTCTTTACTGAACTATACATTTATTTTTCCAAATTCTATAAAAAGACAAGTTCACCTTTCGTAACAGATTACATGTTACACCCATATTCAGGGTGTAACATGTTACACCCATATTCAGGGTGTAACATGTTACACCCATATTCAGGGTGTAACATGTTACATGTTAACAAATCAGACCAGCCTCTGCTCCCCCCAATCTCTGCTTTTACAGCTAGTGGGGGATCTTCTGCCCCCCAGCTAGCTGTCAAATAAAAAAAAAACCAAACAAAAAAACACATGGTGTGCAGGGCTCCACCCACACAGCCGCGTCACTCATGCACAGTCATCTATGAATGAGAGACTACAAGTCCTGACAGCCTTACCGGCTGACAGCTCGTAGTCCTCAATGAACTAGTTCATTCATTCTTCCTGTCAGTATCTCCACTTGCTCGTACATTCCATACAGGCAAGCAGATATACCGACAGACAATGCAGGAGACCTACATGGCACCAGTGATCTGATGATTGCTGCTGCAATTGGCTACAGGCTCCTGTAGACAAAAATAATAAATACACATTTTTACCTACAAAAAAAAAAAAAATGTGCATTTATTATTTTTTTTCTAAAAGGTGAACTTATCCTTATATTCAACAATATCTGAACAAAAAGTATAATGAACATCATGTAAGACAACAGGGCGAGGTTAAGCATACCACAGACATCATTTGAACTTCATCTGAAAATAAAGCTGCTGACCCAGAGCAGCTCACGTTTTTCCCTTCTGTGAACACACTGCCGTATTCATGGGAATACAGGGTGTCTGATTAGGATAACTGATCCAGTAGTGCCAAGTGTGTCTATAGGCTTTGGATTTCTTTTTTGTATCACAACTGTGCTACATAGCCTGTGCAGACAGCAAAGCTGTGGGAGGGACCAGCAGGCTTTGCTGCTCAGCCTCAGCAGGCTGTATGTAGAAAACTACAGGAGGGGGCGGAGACAAGACCAATCAGCTTGCACAAAGAGAGAGAGCAGCTGTGACCTGTCTTTATTACAGGAAGCTCCTGTACAGAGCCAACGTTTTACACTAGATTACTGCACAGATCTGGAAGAAATACACAAAGTATGCCAAGATTCGAGCAAGATTACACATGGCTCTTGTATTTAGACAATATTTACTTGCCAGAGTTAAGCTTTAAATCCATCCTCAGTAAAGGCGCTCTTTACCCTACATCCCTGTCCATCCCAGCAACGTGTGTGTGTATATGCAGGGGTGTGGAAATTTTTGAAAAAAAACAATTAGTCCAAACTAAATCGGGGTCTCAATGTACTTGACCCTCATGACAATCAAAGTCATATTCAAATTTGAGGTGCTTTTAGGAATGTCTAGGGCTTTTATAAACAAAAGGGGATTTATAACGACTTAAACTTTTAATGTTTTTAACATTGCACTGTTTATCTCCACCTCACCGCACCCGGGGACTCGCAGGGAGGGGAGAGACCTTGCAATGTGATGAGCACCGATCGTGTGCTTGTTAGGAAATAGTAGTGTCGGGTTCTCTTAAAACTCAGCAGAAGCAAGTGGGGGGAGGGGCACAGCGGTGTGTGCTAGGAACTCCCACACCCGCCGAGTAAATGGCACTAACCTGACACCCCCCCCCCCCCCGCTTACCTGCACCACCACCGAGAAGCCTGGTGTGGGAGAGTACTGTGCGGCCGGCAGACTGGGGAGCAGAGCGGAACGGTGAGACATAGAGCGGGCTGAGAACTGGGAGGCGACCGCCCATTACTAAGAGAAGAAGGACCTGGCAGCGAGGCGGATGATTGGGAGGACCCAGATGATCGGCCAGGTGACCGAGCGGGAAGCCTGGGAACCTGAGAGCTGGAGAGAGAAGGTTGGAGCTTCCCCGCCACATCCATTACAGGCCATCAGCTTATCCTCCTGTGTAGTGTGACGGGCCACACACAGAAAGGCAGAGTGTATAGAGGTGACGGCAGTGGTGTGCAGCACAGGAGGCGGTGGCCGCAAGACATGAGGATTTGATCTGAGGAGGAGACTGCTGGACCTGGGAGCCCCCCAAAGCACGATCCAGCAAGACCCAGGAAGAAAACAACAACCGATGACCAGCCAGAGTAAACAGCACACAGGAACGGGTGAGTGGCCGAGGGAGGCGGTAAATCCCCAAACTTGAGCACCTGCACGCTACAGTGGAGGCTGGTGGAATTGAGAATATAACATCAGTGTATAGAGAGCCCCAGAGGTGGAAGAGACAGCGTACCCAGGACTCTACGTGAAAAGCAATTCTGCATTTAGGAGGGGGAGCGAAAATTTCACAGTCGAATTTAAATACAAGTACGATAAAAAAGTCTCTACACGAGAAAAGTCTAGAGGAACTACCTTTAGAAAGCCATGGAGAGGAAATCTGTAGTGGAGGCCAAGGGAGACTGTCTTTTTAGGTATCGGACAGAAATCAGCTGAAAGAAAATTTCAAAGTCTGAAAGCGAAAGGGGAAAAAGAAATACGGAGGAGCAGGAAGCAAAGCCACAAATGCCCACAAAAGCAGAAATCGCCGATATGTTTGCAAAACTAGAAAATTCCATAAAAAGCGAAATGGCGGTCTTACACCGCGAAATGGAACAAGTTCTGTCATGGGTAGAAGAAACGAAAGGGAAAGTGGAGAATCAAAAACAAGTAATTAATAAATTAGAAGAACAAATTGAGGAAATGAAAGGGGAGCAGAGACTGTATCCTATAAATTATGAGATCAGGAAAACAGAGATAGAAGGAACAACTTAAGGATCAGAGGTTTACCAGAAGTGTCTCAAGGAGAAGATCTAAAGGGACATTATGAGAAGATTGTTTAATCCAATAATAGGAAGTAGAGAGACAGAAAAACTGAAAATAGAAAGAGTGCATAGGATAAGAAGATCCAAGAAAGTTACATCATATAGCCCTAGGGACATGATAGCAGGGTTCCATTATTATGAAGACAGAGAAATCATTTGGAAAAAGCTACGCGAGATGCCAGACGAAAAATATGGAGAGACGAAATTGCAAATTTTTGCAGACGGATGTAATGGAGGGTTGAACACCTACAGAAGACACTAGTCAGAAGATCTCTGAAACCATTGCTAGATTAGATGAGGGAGAAAAATATCCGTTATAATTGGGGATCCCCAGCTTGTCTGATCGGGTGGAAGGATGGGAAAACGGCGAGACTGAGATTCCTAGATCTAAATTTACTTTTGTGAAAAATTAGAATTGCAGATGTTAGACATTAATGGGTGGTCTGTAGGGGGGGAAAAGAATAAAAGATTAGATGTGGAGAAATGGCAAAGAGTCTCTAGAAAAAGATAGGTGTGGGGGGAGGTGGGAGAGAACCCCTTTTCTTTTTTTTTTTTTTTTTCCCTCTCTCTCCCTCTCCTCATCCCGCCGCCTTGCTCTTGGTTCCTCCCATCCGTCTGGTAATGCTTAAGGGATAAAATCTCTCTCTTTTGAGGATGGGTCAAAGGGGGTCCTCAGGCTGAGGTACACATGTCTTAGACAGGCTTGAAGAATTACATTAAAGATTGAGTGGGTGGGGGAACGTCAGGGGTCATCAAAAGAGGGGACACCATGGCGGGTAGTAGGGAGGCCAAGCATGCTATCAAATTCTAGACCAAAATTGAGAGATCGGGGTCTGAGTGGGCGTGCATGCTTAGAGAGTCTTACCCAGAGGAAGGAATCAACTGTGAAGGTGGGTCGTAGTTGATTCAAGGACTAAAAAGAGGTTGAAGGGGATTTCGGGGGGAGGAAGGGGAGCAGGGAAAAAAAAAGGGAAGGTTCCAAAATTCTGTTTACATTCACCCCTACAAAGGATATAAAGAGGAAAACAGTTACACAGGAGGAAGGAATATGGTTAACTTTATGACTTATAACGTAAAAGGATTAAATACTCCAACAAAAGACGTAAGGTTTTAAGAGAAATACATAAACGATCTATTGAAGTGGTGCTTCTTCAAGAGACACATATCTCAGGATTCAAACATTAAGCTACAATCTAGATTCTTACTAACTTGGTACTATGCGGACTCTCCAATAAGACGGGTAAAGGGAGTGGCAAAGGGGTTTGGGAAAAATATAAAATTCACTTTGGATGAAAAGCTGGTAGATTCAGAAGGTCGATACTTATCTTAAAGTGGAAACTTGCAGGGAAGAAAGTGTACATTAGTAAATATTTATTGCTCTAATAAAAACCCAGTTATATATTTTTGGATGAAATATTAGCAAAACATAAAGGCTTTAAAAGGGGTAGTATGATTGTGGCAGGTGATTTTCATTTCTGCATGGACCCAGAGATGGATGCCTCATCGTGCACACAGAGAGAGGGAGATAGGAGCTTAAAGAATACTTGAAAAAAAGTTATATCAATGCCAGCTGATGGATGTAAGGAGGGTTGAACACCTAAAGGAAAGGAACTATACCTTCTTCTCTGCGGTGCATAAGGGGTATTTAAGATCGGATTGTAGGCTGATTGAACATAGACTCCTGGAGTCCTTGGTGAAAACTAATATAGAAGTAACATGCCTCTGTCACAATGAGACTACAGTTTGGAAGGGAAGAGAATAAAATAAATATGTGGCGACTAAATGAGTCCATTTTACAAAAACCGGAAGTGGAAACAAGAGTAAAGCAGGAAATAGATCAATACTTTTGAGTTAAATGAGTCCGTGGAGGTTTCTATCGCCCCGGTTTGGGAAGCGCATAAAGCCTATATCAGGGGGATATTGATTGCGATAGGGGCAGAGATAAATTAGGGGAAAAAGAATTAGGACATTAATGGAAGAGCTATACCAGCTGGAACAATTACATAAAAAGAAAATAACTATAGACGTACAACAAGAGATAATAATAAAAAGAAAAGGAGTTAAAGATTTTATGGAACAAGAAACAAGGAAGATTTTTAATGGGGTTTCGAAGGAAAGATGTCGGTGGGGGAATAAGCCAGGAAAATACTTAATGAAGAAGTTGAAAGAAAAGAAATCAAGGAACGTTATAGATGAAATAAAAAATGAAAAAGGTGAAATGGTCTATTCAAGCACTGATATCGCTAAAACATTCCAGAGATACTATAGTGGCCTATATGGAGCAGAAGGTAAGAACCAGAAGGAATCAGAAGATGAGAGGAAGGAGAAAAGGCAGATTTACCTAAGCAAGGCCAATCTACCTAGATTGGGCAAAACCAGATTAACAGCCTTAGATAGCTCAATATGAAAAGAAGAAGTCAACTTAGCATTAAAGGGTACAGCAGTAGAAAAGAGTCCTGGACCCAATGGATTTTACCATGGGATATTATAAAAAAAAATTTAAAGAATTTCTAGTCTCTAAACTGTGTAAATACATGAACGCACTGGGAGAGGAGACAAAGATGAGAGAGGAATCACTACAGGCATACATCACAGTAATACCCAAGTAAGTGAAAGATTGGTCTCAGTGTACCAGTCATAGACCTATATCTTTGTTGAATACAGATACAAAACTGTATGCAAAGGTACTAGCTAACAGGTTGATAGAGTTGATGTCTGACTGGATACACTTAGACCAAGTGGCATTTATCACGGGCAGAGAGGGAAAGGATAATGGTTTAAAGAACATTGCTTATCCTGCAAAAGAATGAAAGAGGGGAGGTACCAGGAATTATCCTGTCAGTTGATGCTGAGAAGGCCTTTCATAGAGTAGATTGGGGATCTATGATTGAAACGCTGAGAATGTTAGGAATTGGGCCTAGAATGATGCAGTGGATAAAAGAGTTATGTAGGAGCCACTCAGTGAAGGTAAACTGTTCACTATCAAATTTCTTTGGGATGTATAAGGGAACCAGACAGGGATGCCCCCTGTCCCTGCTGTTGTTCGTTATTACCTTGGAACAGCTATTAGCAACTGTTAGAAATAGTGTAGATGTCAGGGGAATTTGGACAGGGGACATTGAACATAAAGTGGCAGCATATACAGATGATATGCTGTTCTATATTGCAAACCCCAGATTAACACTACTGAATTTAATGAGAAAATTTAAAGAATATGGAGCGCTATCTAAATTTAAAAATTAATCCCTTGAAAAGTGAGATCTTAAAAATAACTATTTCAAGGTCTGAGAAACATATCTTACAAAAAGAATTCCCCTCTAAATGGAAAGAAAAAGAATTAAAATATTTGGGAATAAAATTAACATTGCCTATAAAAAATTTATATCAGGCATATTATATCCCATTAATGAGATAAAGGATGAACTGAGGAAAACCTCAACGGGAAAGCTGTCTTGGATAGGTCGGATAAATTAAGATGATCATAGTACCAAAAGTTTCATATAAATTTAACATGCTTCCGATACCTTTTCCGGGGTTTTTTTAGGTTTCTTAAAAAAATGACACATAGATACAGTTGTGCTCAAAAGTTTACATACCCTGGCAGAAATTGTGAAATTTTGGCATGGATATTGAAAATATGACTGATCATGCCAAAAAATTCTCTTTTATTGAAGGATGATGACCATATGAAGCCATTTATTATCAAATAGTTGTTTGGCTCCTTTTTAAATCATAATGATAACAGAAATCACCCAAATGGCCCGGATCAAAAGTTTACATACCCTGGAATGTTTGGCCTTGGTACAGACACACAAGGTGACACACATGGGCTAAAATGCCAATTAGAGGTTAATGTTCCACATCTGTGGCTTTTTAAATTGCAATTAGTGTCAGTGTATATAGTCAATGAGTTTATTAGCTCTTACATGGAAGCACTGACTAGGCTAGATACTGAGCCATGGGGATCAGAAAAGAACTGTCAAAAGTCCTGCGTAACAAGGTAATGGAACTTTATAAGGATGGAAAAGGACATATAAAGAAGTCCAAAGCCTTGAATATGCCAATCAGTACTGTTAAATCACCTATTAAGAAGTGGAAAGTTTGTTCAAGTGTCATCATATTCCTTCAAAATAACCACACTGTCTTTTTCCAGAGCAGCCTGTATTTTTCTTGTGGTTACCTATGGGTTTCCCTTTGTATCCAAAACAATTCTTCTGTCAGTTGCGGCTGCAATCTTTTCTTGGTCTACCTGACTTTGGCTTGGTATCAAGAGATCCCCAAACTTTCCACTTCTTAATAGGCGATTTAACAGTACTGATTGGAATATTCAAGGCTTTGGACATCTGTTTATGTCTTTTTCCATCTAAATAAAGTTCTATTACCTTGTTACGCAGGACTTTTGACAGTTCTTTTCTGATCCCCATGGCTCAGTATCTAGCCATTTGCAAAAAATTACAAAGGTACACCCAAGCACATAACACCCCCCCCCCCCCCCCCCAAACAAAATTTGAGCCCCACATGTACGCACAAACGTAAACTCACACGTCAGGGCACCTATGCATGTAAAACGTCAGTTGCGATACACATGATACATATCGCCATGCACGCCTGAATGAGAGCAATAATCTTGGCACCAGACCTCCTCCATATGGCTAAACTGATTACCTATTTAGGGGCTTTAACATAATCACCTATAAAAAAAAATATGGGTTCTAAACTTTTCATATGTAAGGTCTGACATGTTGGGTATCTATTTACTCAGTGAAATCTCATCTTTTGTTTTTTAACAAAAAATTGGGTAATTTATGTGTGTTTTTTACAGAAAGTGTGCATTTCCTAAACCCTTGCACAATATTGTGAGACATTAAAAAATTGGAACTACCACTATTTTATTCTCTAGGGGTGTCTTCTTTCAGAAAATATCTAATGTTTTCTGAGGTTTAGAGTTCAAAAAATCCAAAAACGGCTCTGTCAGCGAAAGGGCTAAAGGAGAAGTTCACCTTAGGGAACATGTTAAATTTTCCACCTGTTTTTGGGATGGAACATGTAACATGTTCCCTCTCCTGCAGCAGCTCGGCTATCCGAGCCCTCTGTGTGAAAGCAGTATGGGGAGAAGTTCCCCATACCAGCTGTCACTGTGCGGGGCTCCACACACATGGCTGCATCATCCATCATCTGTGAATTATTCAGCTACAAGTACCGACCTCCTTTTCGGATGTTGGCTTGTAGTTCTCAATGAACTACCATGGCTCTCTGGTAGTTGATTCATTCTTCTTGTCAGTGTGAAACTGCCTGCTAGTAAAATGTATGATGTACGAGCAGACAGATTACACTGGCGGTCTGCAGGAGTCCTGCATTGGACCAGTGATCTGCTGATCGCTGGTGCAATGCTTTCTAGGCTCCTAGAGAAAAAAAAAAAGAAATGCACATTTTTTTACCTGCGACTGGCGCCTCGTTTACTCACTTCAACTCTTCTGGGAAGGCTGTCCACAAGGTTTAGGAGTGTATCTATTGGAATGTTTGACCATTCATAGAGAAGCACATTTGTGAGGTCAGGCACTGATGTCCGACGAGAAGGCCTGGCTCGCAGTCTCTGCTCTAATTCATCCCAAAGGTGTTCTAACGGGTTGAGGTCAGGATTCTGTGCAGGCCAGTCAAGTTCCCCCACCCCAAACTCGCTCATTCATGTCTTTATGGACCTTGCTTTGTGCACTGGTGTGCAGTCATGTTGGAACAGGAAGGGGTCATCCCCAAACTGTTGCCAGAAAGTTGGGAGCATGAAAGTGTCCTAAATGTCTTGGTATGCCAATTCCTTAAGAGTTCCCTTCACTGAAAAAAAGAGGCCAAGCCCAACTCCCGAAATACAACCCCACACCATAATCCCCCCTCCAGCAAACTTTACACTTGGCACAATGCAATCAGCCAAGTACCGTTCTACTGGCAACCCCCAAACCCAGACACGTCCATCTGATTGCCTGAGAAGCAGGATTCGTCACTCCAAAGAACGCGTCTATACTGCTCTAGAGTCCAGTGGTGGCCTGCTTTACACCACTGCATCCGACGTTTTGCATTGAACTTGGGGATATGAGGCTTGGATGGAGCTGCTCGGCTATGAAAACCCATTCCATGAAGCACTCTATGCACTGTTGTTGTGCTAGCCTGAAGGCCACACTAAGTTTGGAGGTTGCACTGTGTGCTTCAGCATGCGCTGACCCCGCTCTGTCATTTTACGTGGCCTACCACTTCGTGGCTGAATTACTGTTGTTCCCAGCCGCTTCCACTTCGTTATAATACCACTAACAGCTGACTGTGGAATATTTAGCTACCCCAGTACCACGCTTCAATTCACTGAGCTCCTGAGAGCGACCCATTCTTTCACAAATGTTTGTAGAAGCAGTCTGCATGCCTAGGTTGATTTTATACACCTGTGGCAATGGCGGCAATTGGAACACCTGAATCCAATGATTTGGAGGGGTGTCCCAATACTTTTAACAATATAGCCCAAATTTTTTTAAGGTATGCCTTGAATTTTATTGAACCTTAAGGTACTATCACCCTTTTCCTGCTAAAATGAAGAAAAGGGGAGAATGGGCAATAACTAGGTCACTTATTTGTTTAAAAAGGAAAGATAAATTACCTTATCAGACAAGGTATCCATGAATTCTTGTCTTTGATACTCTCTGCGACGGAGATGGCGATACACATGAAACTCTCCACTTCCAGCACCAGCACTGGAACCTAGAAAAGTAAATGAGCAAGGATCTCTTTTTTGTAATCCAAGGATTTCAATGTACTTTATAGATGCAACACTTGAAGCTTATGTAAAGTGGAACTAAAAGACAAAAATAGCTAAGAGGTACAGTTTATTTGGTAGAAGAGACTTTGCATATTATCCCTTTTCTCACAGCAATTTTTATTTGTATATGTACACTTCCTGCAATGCACACACTCAGTTCGCTCCCGGCATCCTTAAACGACTCTATATGTTTTTGATTGTAACATGACAAAATGTGGAAAATTTCAAGGGGTATGAATACTTTTTCAAGGCACTGTATATATAGCTCCCTGATAGTTTCTCTCCACCAGCATAATTTGCCTGCAATGTATTGAGAAGCACACAGACCCAGTAATAATGTTACTGACCTGTTGCCAATTAACCTAATTTAGTTTAAAAATTGTGTTCCAGTTCCTCCTTGTTAGTACCACTTACTTTGCCAGCTTTTTGTTGCCCTATCTCAACTATTTTTGAAATGTGTTGCTGTCATCAATTTCAAAATTACCCTATTTTTTCATAGAATAGCGCATTTTCTCAGTTTAAACATTTGATATGTTTTCTATTATGAATACAATATGAGTTTTGAGATTTTCACACATTGCATTCTGTTGTTTTTGTACATTTAACACAGTGTCCCAACTTTTTTTTTGGAATTGGTGTTGTAAATACATAGGAAAGTATATCATATTTACTTGTTTTAATCTTTTTTTTTTTTTTAACCATTTCTTCAGTGACTGTTTCCAGGCCCAGGCAAATTATGTCATACATCCCAGGGGGTCTTCAGGAGGGGAAGAGGGGTCTTCTTAGCTAAGCACACCCTATCTTCGTACCTGAGGTAAGGGCAGGTGGATTCCAGGAAGTAAAAGCTACATGAATCATCTGCCTTACTCAAGCCAGAATAGCTTGGCGTGTTTTCTCAAAGTGATTTCTCAGCAAAATAAAGCATAGAAACATGGATGGATGGGTGAGTTTGCTTTGAATATTAAAAATGAATTAAATAGCATTTTTGTTTATGGTGCTCAGATGCAGTGTAGTTCCGCTTTAACTTAGTGATGTAACATTGTTCAGTTAGAAATAAAAAATAAGATGGATAATAAAGTTTACCCATGACATCTCTGACAAATTCTGGTGGAGCTCTTGGGTTCCATTCTTTTGGTCTTTCAGGTATTGGGGCAGGTTTGTCCTGTAACACAGAGGATAGTAATTCAAAATTAGGTGCAAGGGTTTTTATACAATACTCTGTTGTTACATATGATGCTGCTACGCTATAGCTGTAAATGACAGTTCTCCAGTTGTCTCTGATTTCCAGGTACACTCCAAGGCTTTGTAAACAAATATATGTCATAGGACCGTTGTGTAAACTAAGAAGCTTAACAAAAAATACTTATTGGTGTTATATGCAGACCTTATCCTGGTATTATACATGAAAAAAAATTTTCAGCAATATTTTTGAAGCTGATCTACTGTAACAAAAAATTTTTTTAAATATATTTCTCAATAGACACATGTGGTATAAATCCACTTGGCCTAGGTTCACAATTTCACTTCTGAAAAACAGTCGGCAGTGGATTGCTGTTCAGTGTGAGGCTAAGCAGTTGCTGTCAGACATTTAGGTGGTGATCTTATGTGACGGGAGTGACTTTTGGGGGTGGGGGGACCTCTGTATCATCTCCCCAAATCATTATGTTTAACCCACCCTGTGCCCGTTTAAGGGGTACAGGGTGTGTATGTGAATGTCTGAGTCTTGTGTATAGTGTGTGTTCCTTTGTCTAGGCCACATGGCTGTCCATTGTCTGTTTGCCATGTGCTACCCCCCATTGTGCTGTGTCTTCCTGTCCAGCCAACTATTATGGGATGTACTGTTTGTGTATTGGTGTGGGCATTGGTCAATGTCCTTTGCCATGTGCTTCATCCCATTGTTCTGTGTCTTGGTGGGATGGGGAGGGGTGATGATGTATTTCCTTTTCTTGGTTGTGTTTCCCCACCCTCTGTATATATCCTGTGTTTTGTGTTAAAATAAAAAGAGTTGGCTTCCTGTTTTAAGAAGAGTCGGGTGCTGTCTATTTTCCTGAGGGATTTCAAGGGTGTGGTCCGTGGATGGTGTTCGGACAGGGGAAGCTGTGGTATAACGGAAAAACTCAGTGCGATCTGGGTTCCGGTTCCGTTACATTGGTGGCAAGCGGTGGGATTGTGCTTCCAACCTGTAAACACATCCAAACCACCACCGGGATCCAAGAGCAGGAGAGGAGAGACAGATACCACTCGCAGCTATGGAAACTGAGGTCTTATGGCGGATGCAGCAAGTGCTGGCTTATTTAGATGACCCGGTTTCTACATGGGAAGAGCGTGGATGGAGAAATAAGTCTGTCCAACAGCTGGATGAGGGTGTGGAAGATAGAGCAGTCGGTGCATCCCTCCAATTACAGATCCCAGGATGTATGGATTTTGTCGCTGGAGGATGTTATGGGTGATGAATCACCTGCAGTCTGGGACATCCAAACCACCACCAGGATCCAAGGTTCAGATAGCAGGAGAGGAGAGATACCACCTGCAGCTATGGAAACAGAGGTCTTATGGCGGATGCAGCAAGTGCTGGCTTACCTAGACAATCCTGTTTCTACATGGGATGAGCTTGGATGGAGGGACGCGTCTGTCCAACAACTGGATGAGGGTATGGAAGATGGAGAAGTCGGCTCATCCCTCCAATTACAGATTCCAGAATGCATGGATATAATTGATTTTTCAATGGAGGATGTTGTGGGTGATGAGTCACCTGCCAAAGTGCTGGCACTGGACCCAAGGGCCACCAGCCCGTGCCCTGGACATTTAGCCATTCCAGAGACTGGGGATTATACTAACTTTTTTACTGATGAGGAACCAGCCGGGGAGCCGCCAGCTGAAGCGCTGACAACTGGACAGAGGATCCAGGACCTCTGCCCCACACCTGTGGTAGTTTCAGAGGCCCAGGGTGAGAAGGGAGAGAAGGTTGTTGTCCTCCCTCCCCCCCCACAGTCAGCCAAAGTGGAGGAAACTCTTTTCCCTCCCAAACCAGGATCTGTGCACCAGGGGGACAGTGACAGAGGAATGCCATCCCAGCAGCAGATCCACAGTCTGGGAGTGGAGGAAGGCAGCCTCCCTCCCCCACGGTTAGCCGGAGCAGATGTGGGGTCCCCAGCAGAAGTGCTGGCAACAGGGCAGAGCGCCACTGGCCTCTGCCTAGCAACTACAGCCACTACCTGGATACTCCAGGGATGCTGGGCAGTCGGCCCAGATCCCCCACAGAAGGATGAAGGCGGCCCAGCCACCCTGTCTTCTCTCCAGCGGCTGAGAGGATTTCTGGGAGAAGGACCAGTCTGTACTTCTCCCCAGCGGCGGGTATGTTCTACGGGAGAGGCAGAGGTTGGCTGGGTGAGTAACGCTTGGTGTGGGACAATTTGCATGGGGTACTGTGTGGGTGTTGGCATTGAGGGACTGGAGGTACCGACTAACTTCAGAGTACATCCGTCTGGGATCTACTCCTGCGTTAGTCTCCTGCCGAAAGGAGAGATATGTGACGGGAGTGACTTTTGGGGGTGGGGGGACCTCTGTATCATCTCCCCAAATCATTATGTTTAACCCACCCTGTGCCTGTTTAAGGGGTACAGGGTGTGTATGTGAATGTCTGAGTCTTGTGTATAGCGTGTGTTCCTTTGTCTAGGCCACATGGCTGTCCATTGTCTGTTTGCCATGTGCTACCCCCCATTCTGCTGTGTCTTCCTGTCCAGCCAACTATTATGGGATGTACTGTTTGTGTATTGGTGTGGGGGTTGGTCAATGTCCTTTGCCATGTGCTTCATTCCATTGTTCTGTGTCTTGGTGGGATGGGAGGGGTGATGATGTATTTCCTTTTCTTGGTTGTGTTTCCCCGCCCTCTGTATATATCCTGTGTTTTGTGTTAAAATAAAAAGAGTTGGCTTCCTGTTTTAAGAAGAGTCGGGTGCTGTCTATTTTCCTGAGGGATTTCAAGGGTGTGGTCCGTGGATGGTGTTCGGACAGGGGAAGCTGCGGTATAACGGAATATACCCAAGTGCGGTCGGGTACCGGTTCCGTTACATCTTAAATGTCTGTTTTTTGTTTTTTTTTTTGCCAACCAGCAATTTTCAGTGGGACTAATGTACTACAAGCCAAACATTTGGCTTGTGGTTGCAGTACAACCCCATTGACTTGAACAGACGGGTTTGACAGATGGTGCCTTTTCTCAAGTCAACAAGCACCGTAAATGTACCACGGCAGGTGAATAGCTCCTAGTTGTCTTTAGGTGGGCTGTTGGGGGGGCAGTCAAACTACAGCTCAAACGCCTGCTTTTCCACACACCCCCCCCTTTCCACCATGTGAAAGAGCCCTAGTGTGCACTAAATTCATGTGCAAACCCAGACATTGCATTGTAAAAGTAATGGTGATTTTTATCACTGTGTGGGCACCCCCATCCTACACACACACTGATACTTACCTCAGTTCTCCCCCTCCCCTCCTTCCTCAACTGCTGCCAGCACAAAATACCCAGTGCTTCTGAGTATGGGAAAGCATGTGACCTCCTCCCATGGAGCTGTGCTTGGGTCTAGCAGCCAATCACTAAGCCTTAATAAAAACTGTCACAGTGTAAATTGTTGAAACAGTTTAAACTTTGTTTTTGTGCTGACTAACTGGTAAGTGTGCTGAGGATTTTTTTTGTATAACTTGATCTATATGTCCACTTTTCTGAAGAGCAATTTGACCCAACAGATGTATAGTAGATACCTTCCTGTGCCACCGCAATCTGCCTCTACTGCCTCCAAAGAGTCTGCGTATACACAGTTTTTATTGAAAGGTGATATTTGCACATATATGTCTCCCATGACATTGTGGGATGGGGGAGTGCTTGCTATGTGGTTGGTGGTCCCTGCAACAGGTCTACCTAAAGCAGAATTCTGTGCTCCCCCTACTCCCCCCCCCCTCCCCCAACTTTCTGACTGCTGGCATAAGTAAAAAAATGACTAAATCCCGTCACATGACTCTACCGTCATGAGTCTTCTCTCTTCTTCTAAACAGGGGTACTCCATTGGGCTTTCTGCCAAAAATTCAGTGCTTTCCTGTTCAATTTGCTGTATTATCTTAAACAAGGTTATTAGAAAGTACTGTATATTAGGACTGCAGAATGCTAGCTGCTGCATGATGTCACACACATACACACAGACAAAAGCCCTGCATTCAGGAAGAGCCAGGGAAAAGCTGGATGAGTGCTCTTGAACTATCACCTATTTGGTAATTAGATTAGCTGGATCAGTGTTGGTGATTGACACGGACTGTGTAGTAAAGCTATGTGTAAGCCAGGCGCATCCAACCATGTGCACTAGAGAAGCCTAGCACTTCCATGGGGGAAACAGGTGGGTGTATCCAGCAACCAGCTTTGTTTTCAATGAGGAATATTACTACAGAGCAGAGGAATGTCACTCTCATTGTAAATAGTTTTGTAATCTGATCAGCAGAGATACAAACAGTATTTCTTAAGTCATTTTTAAGCACTATTTAGTGCAGTTCATTACATTAGTGGTGGTCCACTTACAGGACATTAGGAATGAGCTCAACATGTTCAGATACTAATCTGATCCCCCCTGAGCTTTCCCACCAGGAAGCTGTCAATGTGGACCGACAGTCATAAGCAAGGGTGGCATCACATGGATACAGGGTGGGGGAATGCCTTGGCTGCTTATGATTGGTCGTCTGCTGTGACAGCTTGCAGGCTGGATAGCTCACCCAGGAGCAGAGCAGTATATGAACATGTCTGAGCTCACTCTTGCACGATATAAAAAATATTAAAAATTATTAAAGTGGAAGAAAAGCCTAACTATATCTATTCTAAAAATTCTTCCCTGTTCTCTCCTCCTAATTATCTTAATCTGTAGAAATAAAACAAGATGTGTGTACATGCCTATGTTTAATCTGCTCTGTCATGTGATCCCACAGCTCCGGCTCCCCTGTGTCAGTGAGCAGCTGCTGCATGGGTAAGGAGCAAGTGCGGACAATGGCTGAACCATGGGAGCCTTTGGATGACATCACTGCTCCCAGAATTCGCAGCTGTTGTCAAGTGCTCCCTTATACAGAGCTGCGGGATCATGTGACCAGACAGGAGCAGATTAAAAATAGGCAAGTACACAGATCTTTTTTGTTTTTTGTACAGGTTAGGCAGGATAGGTAGGGGAAGGGAGCATTTTTAAGAATAGTTTACATGGGCTTTTCTTCCACTTTAAATACTCACCCTTTTTGTAAATAGTGGATTTTAAATGCTCACACCTTATGTAAATAGTGAATTTTAAAGCGGTATTAACCGCTTGCCCTCCTGAGGATATACCCACCCCTTCCTGACCAGGCCATTTTTTGCGTTCCGGCACTGCGTTACTTTAACTGACAATTGCGTGGTCATGCACTGCTGCACCCAAATGAAATTTAAGTCCTCTTTTTCTCACGAATTGAGCTTTTTTTCAGTGGTATTTGATCACCTTTGCGGTTTTTATTTTTTGTACTACAAAAAAAGAAAAGCGACAATTTTGAGAAAAAAAAAAAAACTATATTTTTGACTTTTTACTATTAATCATGTCCATTAAAAAAAAAAAAAAAAAAATCAAATGTCATCAGAAATTTAGGCAAAAATGTATTCTGCTACATGTCTTTGCTAAAAAAAAATCCCAATACGTGTAAATTAAATGGTTTGCATGAAAGTTTTAGTGTTTACAAATGGCGGTATAGATACTGGAATTATTTTTTTTTTTTACTAGTAATGGCGGCAATAGGCAACTTATAGCGGGACTGCGGCGGACAGTCTGACACCACAGGGAACTGACTTGGTGTCACTGACATCCCAAGTGACACCAATACAGTGATCCTTGCTAAAAGAAAATAAAAAAAAAAGCACTGACACTGTACTAATGGCATTGAGCAGGAAAGGGTGCTGGGAATGTTTTACTAGGGTGCTGTGTCAGTGTGCACAGCCATCCAAAGCAGTGCGCCTGAGCTGACAGGGAGGAGAACTGTTAGTAAACAAATCAGTTCTCCTTCACGTCGGAGATCGTTGGAAATCACCTGCCGGGACCCGGTGATTGACAGCCACGGCCACAAATGGCAGAGGGAGGGGGAAGGGGGGAGGGAGGGAGGAGGAGGAGGATTCCAGTCCACTATTATATTTGACATGAAAAAGTATTGCGGTTGCAACGATGTATCTATTTGTATCCGGAAAAAAAAATCTGTATCTGAAATGGATACAAATAGATACAAGGTTGCAACCGCAATACTTTTTCATGTCAAATATAATAGCGGGGCTCTCTTCAGGGACAGAAGTAATTAAATGCCGGCCGTAGACGGGAAGAAAATGGCCGATTTTTTTACTGTTGGTGGTAACGTCGGCCTATTGAACGACCGGTTTTTCGTTAAAAAACCGGCCGGTTTTCTCCCCGTCTATGGCCTGCATTAGTCCGTAGGGTTCAGTATGGAGTTGAGCTCCTGAGAGTGACCCATTCTTTGACAAATGTTTGTAGAAGTAGTCTGCATGCCTAGGTGCTTGATTTTATACACCTGTGCCCATGGAGGTGATTGGAACACCTAAATCCAATGATTTGGAGGGGTGTCCTAATACTTTGGGCAAAATAGTGTAGATAGATAAATGTATATAGTGCTGTGTCACTTAACACTTACCTTTACCTGTAAAAAAAATAAAATAATAAAATCAATTTTTGGTTTTGGATTTAATACTGCTTTAAGCACCTTGCTAAAAATCCCCTATTACTTGTTTTTCTATTGTAGAAAAGTGCAAAAACTTACTTTATTCATTGCACACTGTCACAGGCTTCAGGTCCCTTAGCACAACTTCCGCAAAGGAAGGTAGTGAGTGCATCGAGTATTGGTAGCAAAGTGACAGCTTGGAGACAGAAGAAGGGAGCAAAGCAGTGATGTACAGCAGGACACTGATCCACACAGCAAAATAGTACACAGCCAAGGGTGGCTCCATGGGACTCTGTGAGAGAAAGGAGCCACCCTGAAAGCAGAGCAAGGGACGGTATTGAACTGGTTTAAAAAAGGGAGGTGGTAATATCACTTTAAGGCCCCTTCACACAAAGGGTTCGATCAGGTCCGCCTGCCAGTTTTTCATGATTGGATTCTCTATGCACCCCTATGGATCGGCAGGTGTAAGTGGACTTGAGTCATTTTACACCTGCCAATCTGGTCTGCTAAAAAAAAAAAAAAAAAAAAAAAAGGGAAAGGATCCACCCCTCTCTGTCTAGGTGGATCGGATGGCATTTGGGTGGAAGTGGACAGTGGAGTCTGTGTTCTCCCAGCCACCCATAGAGCACAGCGGGATGTGTTGTATCTGTTCGAAATACACTGACCTATCATCTGCCCGCTCTTCTCCAATCAGCAGGGTATCAATGGATAGATCCCCTGCTGATCCCAGCAGAATCCCCCCCATGTGAAAGGGGCCTAAGTCATGCCCACATTTCACTGCACCATGCGCACTGAAGGCCGTCTTCTGCTGTCCCTCCTTCTCATACTTTATAGTTGGGAGTCAGGCATGGGGTACCAGTACGATTTCATTGGTGTGGATGGGACCTTGTTAGGAATAAGCTGTACATTGTAATTCATCATGCATGTTTATAGCAATGTATCGAGAGGATGAGCATGTGAGTTGTATTCATTTCTGCCCAGGACTTTCATCATCAGAGATCACATGTATCTAATAACAGTCCTCAGTCACAGCCGTACACCTACCGGGTTCCTCATCAGCCGTTCCAGCTTCAGCCTCTGCTCGTCGGTGGCATTTTTCGGTATGACCAGCGGCTGGGGCTCTTTTTTAGGCCGAGCTGGCTTCGAAACTCCCGTTTCTGCCGCCATACTATTCTCTCCTTGTTTACATCGGCGCGGACCGATGACATCATCTCCTGCAGATTGCTTCCCATCAGCATGGGCCTCTACCTTTGCGGCTGCATAGACACCATTTTTTCGGAGACCACAATATGATTTGGCCTGCTAAGTCCACAACAAAATGTCTGACGCATAGTACCTCTGGGTATTAGAATAGAAAGTAAAAACAGATCCCTGGGGGAAATACAGAAAGGGTTGTCAGTGTTTCTAGTTTTCATCCAAACCTGTCTGCTTTGTAGTGGCAGTAAAACAACTTTGTTACATTTTACCTACAGGTAAGCATATAATAAAACTTGCCTGTAGGTAAAAAGAATATCGCCTAAATCGGTGTAGCGGTAAATCTTGCCGAAACACCAGCCCCATTAGGATATTTGTGTATTTCTTACAGCAGCGCATACGCTCTGAAGGAACAGCATACCATAGCCGCTCCTTCAGAGCATTGTGTTGTGTCCCGAGACTCCCGTGCGCATGCACAGGAGTGATGTCATCGCGGCTCAGCCAGCTAGATGGCCGCAGCTCGCAAACCCAGATGAAGCCTCTACAGTGGTGATAGCGCTCCACTGGAGGGCTTCGATTTAAGGTAAGTTTTACAATGTGTTAGTATGTATCACATTAAGCCCTTAGCTTGCAGGGGATATTTTTTCGTTATAGACGCGGTTTACTACCGCTTTGAAGTAGACCTTCACCCTAAGTGACTTGTAGGGTTGCCACCTCATCCCTTTAAGACTGAACACGTTAAAACAGAGTTCCACACAAAAGTGGAAGTTCCACTTGTTTGCCTCCTCCCCCCCCCTCCACTGCCATATTTGGCACTTTTTTGGGGGGAGCTAATACCTGGTTTTGACAGGTACCCACTCCCAGTGCTGGCTCACCGCCACGGTGAAGTGAGACTGAAGTTCCTTCCTCTCACAGTCTTCTGGGACACTTAACAGGTCGCAGGAGACTGCCGGACCAATCAGGAGGCACAGCATGACTCGCACATGCGCAGTGGGCACCCAGCCGTGAAGCCGCAAGCTGTCAAAGCTTTGTGCCCACAGGATGCTGGCACCAGGGAGAGAAGGGACAGTGTGGGTGAGCACATCATTGGACCCTGGGACAGGTGTGTGTTAAAAGTCTGCAGCTACACTTTTTGTAACTGCTGACTTTTAATAAACACAAAAAATGACTGGAACTTCGCTTTAATTACACAGGTTCTGAGACTAGTTTAATGCAGATAAGGCACTAAATGAGTTTAATTACCAAGTTAATCAACCACAGATCCTGTGTAATTAATATGAGTTCAGTTTTAAAGGGATGAGGTGGCAACCCTAGTGACTTGTCCTCCTCCTGCTCTTACAAATAGAATTTTTTTTATTTGTGTTAGCAGTAGGGTATCTAACTGTCAACTGTGCCCCTGCTGAGCCACTAGCTCCTGACTCATGCCAATCAGCAACCCAGGATCTGATACGTCCAACCTGCCAAGTCTCTGCATACTGAATTCTAGCAAGATAAAGCTGTTACAGCTTAGCTGTACAATGCCTCACCCCACCAGTGTGCCTCTTTGACCAGTGGCTCTCAGCCCGGGAATCTAATTGGCTGGTGGCTCTTAGCCCCGGAATCTAATTGGGTGGTAGCTCTCAGTCTGGAAATCTTTTTGGCTCAGTGACAGAGGAAAACAGAGGGGAGGACATTCTGCTTCCTGTATTCCTAAACACTCTGCATTACTTACTGCTGACCCCTGCACTCTGAATTACATACTACTGACCTCTGCACTCTGCATTATATACTACTGACCTCTGAACTCTGTGTTACTTACTCCTGACCTCTGCACACTGTGTTACTGCTGACTTTTTGCATTCTGTATTACATACTACTGACCTCTAAAATCTGTGTTATTTACACCTGACCTGTGAACTTTTTGTTGCATTCCTCTGACCCCTGCACTCTGTGTTACCTACTACTGAACTCTGTGTTACTCTTGACCCCTGCCCTCAGCGTTAATACGCACCCATGAATTTTGCACTGCTTACTACTGACCCCTGCACTCTGTTTTCAATATTACTGACCTCTGAAATCTGTGCTACTTACTCCTGACCTCTGAGCTTTGTGTTGTTTTCTCTTGACCCCTGCACTTTGCACGACTTTGTCCTCAACTCTGAGTTAAGTACTACTGACCTCTGCACTCTACTTATTACTGACCTCTAAATTCTGAATTACATACTATTGATCTCTGAGCTCTGCATTACTTACCACTGACCTCTGAACTCTGTGTTACTCCTGACTCCTGCACTCTGCATTAATAGTTACCCCTGACGTTTGCACTACTTACTACTGACCTCTGAAAAATGTGTTACATACTACTGACCTCTGAAATATGTGTTACATACTACTGAACTCTGCAGTACTTCTGACCTTTAAATTTTGTGCTATGTACTACTGACACCTGCACTCTACAGAGTTACAGACAACTGACCTCTGAAATCTGGGTTACTTACTCCTGACCTCTGAACTTTGTGTTGCTTTCTCCTGCTCTCTGCGTTACTTTCTCATCACCTCTGATTTAATTACTACTGACCTCTGCACTTTGTGTTGCTCACTGCTGACCCCTGCACTCTACTTGAAATTTTACTGACCTCTTAACTCTGCATTATATATTGATGACCTCTAACTCTGTGTTACTTACTCTTGAACTCTGCATCAAACACTAAACCCCGGTGCATGCTAGGTTACTTACTATTGATCCCTCCATACTTTTTATGGGGCCATGCTAGGGAATTTCCTAGCAGGTGATCCTCTGCACTCGGTGTTACTACCAACCTCTGAACTCTGCATTACTTACTCCTGACCCCTGTATTCTGTGTTAATTTCAACTGACCTCTGGTTTAATTACTACTGACCTCTGAATTCTACAGTACTCCTGCCTCCTGTACTGTGTTGGTTTTGAATCAGCATGCAGATCCCTTGCTGGGCAAGCAGACCTATTGACGGGTCCATCCTGTATGAAAGGGGCCTTTATCAGACAGCGCCATCAGACAAAGGGCAGCCTTGTTACTGCTGTACTGTCTCTTCAGATAACTCATAGTGCTCTGGGAATCTTTTTTCATGTATAAAATGTTTGTAAGTATATATCATGGGAGGGTGCTTTAAAAAGTAATCAACATGAATTTTAAATCTTAAAATGTACCCAGAACCAAAGTAGTTACCCTTCAATTCTTCTTTTTTTTTTGTTTTACATTCACTGCTGAACAAATGATTTAACACATTAGAATGTGAAATAAGCAAACTAGCAAGGGAAAGTCAAAACTAACGTTAGAAAGTATTTTTTTTACCAAAATAGTAGTTGATGCTTGGAATAAACTTCCTGTAGAAGTAGTGAGTCATTCAACAGTAGGTGGATTCACAATGTCTGAGACAAACATAGATCTATACTCAGATAAAAAATGGGGCAGACTTCACTGGCCATTTGATCTTTTATCTGCTGTCACTCTTCTATCTTTCTATAAGTGTTTACATTTACATGAATCAGTAATAATTAACTGTGTAGTGTGAGTAAAGCTTTTGTATATATGAACATCAAAGCCAAGATAACATATCATTAATGGATAGTGGAATGGAGGAGGAAGTGAAATATTGATAAGAAAGGTATAAATACCAGTTTATATTGTTATGGAATTTCTGGAGCATGTATAGTGGATGTGGGTAGCTACGTTGGGTTGCCACACCTTGTATTGGCATTTCCTTCCTTTTTTGATTCCTAATTTTTGCTTACACAAAACTATGCACATCCACGTCACTGAAGATTAACTTCATACAAAGATGAAGATGTATTTTTTGGTCTAGGATGATTCCCTCATGAATTACCTTGTCCATATTAAAGAAGTAATAAACCAAACATAAAATGTAATATATTGCAGCTTACCAATCGTTAGATGTGGTGGCTGCATTAGTTTTCTTTTTTTAGGCTTTTTCACCTGGGGATCTGGCCAGTAACACACCCCCTGTTTTAGTATGTCCCCACTCTGAATGAAGGAGCACAGGGACAGCAGCACTGTCAGTCTGCGGGAGGGGAGTGTTAGATGTTCTAGCAGATTTCGATACACTAACAAACTAAAGTCAAACACCAGCTAATATTTTATAAGCAGTTTTTATTTTCCTATTGGGTTAAAGACTTTACATACTGTAAATAAAAAAATTCCTTTAAGGACCCCTGTCAGTGTTAAATTTTTTTTTTCACCTTTCTAACTGATACAATCTGGAGAGCTAGATCTTTTGAAGCTGGATCACCAGATGAAAATAGAAAAAGAAAGCCTAAAAAGAAAATGAACGCAGATATCACATCTAAGAAATGAGCGGCAATGATTGCTTTTGGGTTTAATACTGCTGTAAGCAGCAAGTACCTCTTATTCATTCTTATTTCATTATTTTAGTTGCTCTTGAGGAACTACCACACCCAGAGGATTTGTAGATTTCAGCTGATTTTGTTTATTCCCATTTCTGCTTCCTCCCTTTCAGCTTTTGTTATCTTTGTTTGAATTTTCAGCTCCATGCACAAGATGATTAGCATATTTAACCACTTGCCCTCCTAAGGATTTCCCCCCTTCCTGACCAGGCCATTTTTTGCATTACTTTGACAGTTGAACGGTCATGCAACGCTGCACCCAAATTAAATTTATGTCCTTTTTTTTCCCCACTAATTGAGCTTCCTTTCAGTAGTATTTGATCACCTGTGTGTTTTTTATTTAAAAAAAAAAAAAAAAAGAAGACCGACAATTTTGAGAAAAAAACAATATTTTTGACTTTTTGCTATTAAACATGCCCAGTAAAAAATCTAATTTCATCATAAATTTAGGCCAAAATGTATTCTGCTACATGTCTTTGCAAAAAAAAAATGTGTAAATTAATTGGTTTATGTGAAAGTTATGGCGTTTACAAATGGTGGTATATATAATGGAATTTTTCTTTTTTCTTTTACCACACAATTTTATTTTTTTCAGGTATTGACCAAAACATAT